CTATGCTTGAAACTAAATTGTTTGGTCTTGAATCTTTGAAAGACATGTATGTGTGAAACTTTTGCTTCATGTGAAAAGTTTTATAAAAATGGTTACTTTAGGCATAATGGATTCTTGTTTAAAGTAAATAAATTATGTGTGCCTAAGTGTTCCATTAGAGAGTTGCTTGTGAGTGAATCACATGAAGGGGGTTTGATGGGTCATTTTGGGGTTCAAAAGACTTTAGAAATTTTGCAAGAGCATTTCTTTTGGCCTCATATGAAACGTGATGTGAATAAGTTTTGTGATCACTGCATTTTATGTAAAAAGGCTAAATCTAAGGTTAAGCCTCATGGGTTGTATACTCCTTTACCTGTTCCTGAATATCCTTGGACTAATATTTCTATGGACTTTATTTTAGGGCTGCCTAAAACAAAGAATTGAAAGGATTTTGTGTTTGTTGTTGTTGATAGGTTTTCTAAGATGGCACATTTCATTCCTTGCAAGAAGGTAGATGATGTTTGTCATGTGGCACATTTGTTTTTTAAGGAAGTAGTAAGGCTACATGGGCTGCCGAGGAGCATTGTGAGTGATAGGGATTCAAAATTCCTTAGTCACTTTTGGAGGACCTTGTGGGGTAAGATTGGTACTAAATTATTGTTTTATACTACTTGTCACCCACAAAATGATGGTCAAACTGAGGTAGTCAACAGGACTTTAAGCACATTGCTTAGGACTATTTTAAAGAAAAATCTTAAGACTTGGGAAGCATGTTTACCGTATGTTGAGTTTGCTTATAATCAGGTTATCCATAGCACCACTAATTGTTCACCATTTGAGATTGTGTATGGATTTAATCCTTTGACTCCTATTGATTTGTTGTCTTTGCCTAACATTTCTATGTTTAAGCATAAGGAAGAACAGGCTAAAGCAGAATATGTGAAGAAGCTACACGAGCAAGTAAAAGCTCAAATTGAAAAGAAGAATGAGAGCTATGCGAGGTAAGCTAACAAGGGTAGGAAAAAGGTGGTGTTCCAACCTGGTGATTGCGTTTGGGTACACATGAGAAAGGAAAGGTTTCCTGAACAAAGAAAGTCTAAACTTCAACCTAGAGAAGATGTGCCATTCCAAGTCTTAGAGAAGATCAATGATAATGCTTATAAGATTGATCTACCAAGAGAGTATAATGTAAGTTCTTCTTTTAATGTTGCTGACTTGACTCCTTTTGATGCAAGAGATGAATTCATAGATTTGACGACAAATGCTGCCCAAGAAGGAGGGAATGATGTGGACATAAAGACCCAATCCCATAACGAGAAGGATCAAGTTCAAGATCCAATCCAAGACTTAGGTGGACCTATGACAAGAGACAGGCTCAGAAAAGCACAAGAGGCATTGCAACACAAATTTGCTAAAGGCCCAACTATTAAAAGCTCCAAACATGGAGAAGTCTAGCCCTATCACATGCATAAAATGTTTTGAGAGCTAGGAGGCCCAACTAGAAGATTTAGTAGTTATTATTTTTATTATTATTTGCTACAGTGGGGATTTGAACTCAAGACCCAAAGCTTATAATGTCTTCACTGAACCATCAGGGCAACTTAACTTTGCTTGGGATATTAGGATTTTAATTTATCTTTATTTCCTACAATGAGACAAACTCATAAACTTAAGTTGTATTAAACATTTGGAAATTGAGAATGAACGTACGTAATATTCAGAATCACTTTGTGAGTTGTTGCTCTACTAGGGTTCTTCCTTGCATCATTTGATCTTATCAAGAATTATCCAATTCTTGTGGTGATCCTTCTTGGCTTATCAAATATTCTTATTTGTGGCGCCTACGATATCCTTTATGTTTTTCTGTTTTTTATTTCCAATCAAAGAAACTCTTAAAACCTAACCCTAAATTGTTTCCCTTCTATTCGAGTGTCGTCAAAGAGGCTATTGGAAAGTGCTTGGCTTATTATTTGTGGGTTTTGTCTTCTCTTTAGATGAATCAATGGAGCTTGACTTTTCTTCTATGTGAGGTTTTTTCTGTTCCGTTTGAACTTCTTGACCACTTCTCAATATGATTGCGCTTACATTCTCTCTTGGATTAATCACTGTTTGCAAGGAAAGTGCATTCGCACCTTGCTGTTGTAGTGAATTTATGGTAGTGGCCAATTGCCCCATTTGGGTTTGCAAGTCATTGAAATTGTTCGTCATGCGCTGCTCTAGTTGTGTTGTTCGTGTATTCTGTGTTATAATCTGTTGTGTGAGTTGCTTCATCAGATCCTCTAGTGTGGGCCTGTCGCCGCCGTCAAAAGAGGCGGTCGGAGCAACGCGATAATTTTGCTTTGACTCCATTTTTTAAAGTGATGTTGCAACGCCTTTAGATTGTTCGATAACCGAGCTGGACCTAAAGGCGAGGTTTTCAAAAAGGGTTCTAGAGTCACCACCAATGTTTTATCCAGAAACATTGGAAAAGGAAGAAAAAGAAGGCGTTGGTTTAGAAAAACCAACTTTGGCCATTATAACCAGAGTTGGGTAAGAGAGTTAGTTACGTGTAGAGAAGGTATTAACTTCCCTACGACGCCCCTTTCGGGTTCCCTATGATGGACCATTTATTTTATAAATAAAAAACTCTAAAATAACAATTTTACCCTTATTTATTCGTTTGCGGAATTTTAAATGTTGACTACATGACCCTAACAGCTAATGCACAGATAGATGTAATAAAAAAGTGATAAAAGAAGGTAGAAAGTGTAGGAACATTTGAAGCAAGATTTTGTATTAATATTCTTGGTAAAGAAAGGTGCTTTTTGGCAACCTCCACGCTCTACAGTACTGATCGCTCTTTTTCGCAACACTAGAAAACACTCACTAAGAATACTAAGAAACTCCGGAAATGCTTCGCAGGGATCCTAGGAGAAGAATTTGAGAAAGTTGCAGAAGGGAAAGTGGAAGAATGCTGTCAAAAGGATGAGGTCGCCCCCCCCCCCCTTTTATAGGAATTTGTGTCTGTCAGGTCGGGACCACCGTCTCGCCTAACAAGGTTGGGACCGCCGTCTCGCCAAACGGGACGGCGGTCTCGCCCTTGGCAAATGGCGAGAAGGTCGTCTCGCCATTAGCAAGTGGCGAGACAACCGTCTCGCCCTTTACCGATGGCGAGACGACGGTCTCGTCAAATGAGACGACGGTCTCGGCCTTCTAGGTGGAATTTCTTATTTTTCTGTACAAAAAAACATTCCTATTCTAATATGAGGCTTATTGGTCTATCTTAGGGACCTTTTAGGCCTTGTCCATCTTCGAATCGGAAGTCTTCTTCTCTTTATTTTAAGGCCGGACAAGATTTGGGGTCTACAGGGCCCAAAGTTACCCTATTGCATAATACTACTTTGGTTTGGCTGTAATGACAACGGGTGTTGATTCATCTACTGTCTCATCAAGGGAGGTTGATACTTTTACTGTTAGTTGCCTTGGTTGCTTGGTTGGAAAGAAATTTTTGGTGGGCGGTTGTAGACAGGACCATATTTCAAGTTGGGATGGTCTCTCCAACCTAGATTAAATGTGGCTGAGTACGAATTATACTCCTATTGTGGCTTGTATGAATTTAGCTATTTGTACTGCTATTATTTAGGTAATATGGCAGCCACTATTTCCCTAGGTGTCTCCTGAAGTTCAGGACATGCATCAGTGGGATGATATACGGAGGTGCATATCCCACATAAATATTGTTGTTGAAATGTGTGTTGGTTCATGGTCAACTATCGAACCACAAATGTCAGCTCAGATATTTGGTTCTCCAACTTATGATTATTGATGTTTGTTTCTGGGCTTTGTTGTACTGCATGGACCGGTTTAACAAACGTTTGAGGACTAAATTGTTGAGAATTCTCTATCATGTTTGAAATCAAGACCCATGCGGCTTCACATGTCTTATCCATCAATGCGCCTCCAGTTGCTGCATCAATCATGTTTCTTTCCATAGGCATTAGTCCTTCATACAAGTACTGGATCAATAATTGCTCATTTATATGATGGTTTGGGCAAGTGGTACATAATTTGGTGAATTTATCCCAATATTGATAAAGAAACTCCTCTTGTAGTTGTCAAATTCCACTAATTTCCTTCTTAATGGTAGTGGTCCTTGAAACTGGAAAGGATTTCTCTAAGAATCTCCTCTTCAAGTCTTCCCAAGTCGTGATTGGTATCAATTGAAGGTACGACCAATCTTTTGTTGTGTCACACAATGAGAATGGAAAGGCCTTCAGCTTGACATAGTCTTCTGCAACACCTACTAGCTTCATTGTGGAGCATACTACATGGAACTCCCTCAAATGCTTGTTGGTAGTCTATGGAATTTGGGTAAGAGCTAAATCAGGCCAGACTTTAGTTCAAATCCAGCAACTTATTTCTGTAGTTGAAGAAGTTGAATACAAATCGGTTGGTGAGATATATCTTGTGCGGCAAGCTCCTTCAAGGCTCTTTCTCGGTTAACAGGCATTTGAAATGTTTAATTAGACTTTTCTACTGCTTCTCTCTTTCTCTCTTGGAGCCCCCTCCACCTCTTTAATCTCCTCAATCTCTTGAAGGTAACTTCGATTTCAGAATCGAATATATGTGGCTCACCTTTCTTTGCTCGGGTCATGCACGATTAAATGTCCTACTGGAATACAAATGTAGACAGTGAACAAATACACCAGGTAGGTTCCCAAGAAAGAGAGGTGGGTCACTAATGGACACGCTTAAGTACCAAGTCTTTCCTAGCCAGAACCCTCCTAGACATGTACCCTCACACTACCAAGTTATATCTAGAACTTCCTACAATAGTGGTTATTGAGAATTTGCTACAAGAAAACTATATCTAGAATTTCCTGCAAAAATGGTTAGGAAGCACACAAAAATAAATTATAATAACTCTATTTTTCTTTGATTTTTTTTTTGAATTTTTTTTTTTGAAATTTTTTAAATAAAGCTAGAAAAAGAAAAAAAAATGATATTAGACAATGTTACGCAACAAAATTGTGTCTCCGACAATGATGTCATTTGATAACAACATTTTGGTCGCACAAAATACTAATAAAAAATAATAAACAAGTTACTAAACTAATGCAATATAGCTAACCTATGTCGAATCTTACAAGGACATAATTATAGGAGCATACTCATTATCACATATCATTATCTCTAAAATAGTAAATAACAAGAAACGGGGGATGAATGAAAGAGTAAAAAAGAAATAAATTGATGCAAAATAAGAAAAATTAAAATCAAATTGCTATAGAATATTAATGACAGCTTAAAATTAAACGGAAACATAATTTAAATAACTGAAATTTATAAAATTAAAATAAAGTTATTTTTATTAAAAGTGAACGAATAAAAAATTGTTTTAAAACAAAATAATGTAGTAATTAAAATTATATTGATGTAGAATTTAAATAATTAAAATTTATAAAATTGAAATAAAGTGTTTTTAATTAAAAGTGCAATGATTAAGAATTGTTTTAAAATAAAATAATGCAAGTAATTAAATTTGAAATTTCTAAAAACAATAACTCTAAAACTAAATTACAAATTGGAATTGGAAACGAGACGAATTGAAAATGAAATTATGCAAGATCTTGGAATAAAAATTCTAAACAATTAAATAACGAGAATTAAAATGAACACTAAATAAATAAAATAACTAGAACAACATAAATTGAAAATTCAATAGAAATTGCAAATTAAATAAAAGAGAACAAACCAGAAATGCAGTAGTAGTAGATAACTTGTCCAACAAAAAACTAAACTAAGAACTGAGAATAGGAAAAAAAATGGGGACGAGACAAAACAACAATTCTCACCCCAAGGAGATTTTGATTGTGGGTTGTCGTAAGACCTCTATTTATAGGGGTTTGAACAAGAGAAATTAAGCCTAAAATTAATTACAATAAAATCAAATATTTCTCAAATAAATAATTATAACATCTGATTGTTGTGAAAAGAAATTTCTAGGACTGATTTGAAGAAAATAGTCTGCTTCTTTCCTATTTTGAGTGATCTAACACTCATTTGCATTTAATTCTTGATTATTGTTGGCCTTTAATTCAACTAAATTGGATTCCTGCACTAGTTAATTTACTTGATTCAAAATTTTCATTTGTAACATTCTGCAAGTGGGCTACACAATCAAACTTGAACTTTAAAGAAGAGTAAAAATTGACGACATCAATTTAGACATTTCTTTATATCAATTTGACCAATCTTAAATTATCTCTTCTATGAAAGAAGAAAACGAAATATGCAATGTGGATATATGCATGTACATTGTTTATTATGCTAAAACTATGTAAAATGCAATAAATTAAGAAAAATTGAATTATGTTATGCTTTGAATGAAAACATGTTAAATGCATAATTTATGAATAAAATAATTAGCTTATAAAATACTCTTATATCAAGAATAAAAGGTAAAATGACATACATCGAGTGTGATATTATTCAAGGAACTTTAGTAAATACCAATAATGAAATCATATGGGAAAGTAGTTGAACAGAAACATTTATTAATTGGATATTGGTTAACGATTCAAACTTGTTAGAAATCAAAATATTGGAATGGGACAATTTATGATCTAAGGTTGGATCAAATAATTAAATTAATTACATAAAGTTTATTTCTTTGATATAATACTGAAATAATTAAATTATATAAAAATAATATTAAAGAATATAATATCTTAAATATTTAAATCTATGCTATTTATAAATTTTTAATATTTAAAAATATATATAAAAATAAAATATTTCATAAGATCAATGCATAATAACAATAGTAAATTTCCTGAAAAAAATATGAATATTTGTACAGAAAAAAATCAAAATAACATTTAAATTATATATTTTTAAAATTTATTTTTTATTGAACCATAAATAGGTATTTAACTAGTTTAAATCGGTCACATAATAAACTACTTCACCCGAGATACTTACAACAGATATATAATTAGATTTTGATTTAAGAATTTTAACAGTTAAAAATAATAAAATAATGACTCACTAATTGAGCGATTTAATTTTTTGTATAACAAGGAGGATTTAAATTTTTTATAACCAGGATAATTTTAGTATCTCCTATCATTGGAGGGAATAGGAAAAGTTTTTTTTTTTATTGTTTAATTTAATTGTTTTGTTAGTGTAATGATACTTTTTGACAAACGCGAAAATTATTACAACAAAACACGTGTTTTGGATCCCACCCACCCCCAAATTCAACTCTCTAATCCTTAGGGTTCGATTTCCGTCATCTGCAATTTCCTCTCCGCCGCGCCGTACGGCATCAGTTCGCCGTAATATCTTAACGGGTACTTTTATTTCTCTCCCCAATTCGCAATTTCTATCTGCACCTTCTTCTACTCTATCATTACACACACTACACGCACATCCTTAACACAAAATATGAATCCGGCTAACAGTAAATCAGACATATTTGGTTATGGTTTAGTGTATGACGCTTAGAATTTCTTCTATTTGATAAAGTTTTAATCTTTTTCCGTAGGGGAGAAAAGGTTTTGTTTTGATATGGGTGGTGACGAGAACATGAACGAGGAGCAAGAGTTGAGTGATTCTCTGGATAAGGAGAAGAAATTGGAAGATGGGTTGAAGTTGAATATGGTCACTGAGGAAGTGAGAAATGGAGTGCTTGCTGAGAATGGTTGCCTCTCTCTTGAGGATGGGAGTCCCAAGAGAAGCACTGAGACTGTTGGAACATGTATCCTTGTCTGAGATTTAGTATTCAATGCATGTTTTCAATTTATATTTGCCCCTTTTGAGGTTTCCTAGTTTGGTGCTTGATAACTGTGCTCCATAGGAACCCCTTTGTGTTAGATGAATTAATTGGCTACTTTCCTGCTTGTTGTATTGATGTAGCTTGTGAGTTCTTTGCAATAGCACTCTTTCAATTTATGCATGTTTGAATTATTGATGGAGGAGTAGTTCAACTGGTGAATTTCTTTTTTCCACCTGTGTGTTGTGGTGTTATTTGGTAATTTGTGTCATAATTGCTTAAAATTGGGTTCGAACAGTGTAGTAAACAGCCGTAAAAGTGGTGCTGTTGTAGCATTGCAGCACGGAGTGGTCCCTGGCAGCTACAAGGATGGTTGTTGAGGAGTGTTTCTTTATTGTGGCTGTTTCATGTCTGGAAAGTCGTGAATCTTACAGTGATAGTGCCACAATCATGTCTGTTTATTGTGACATCCTCTCTGCCCTATCTCTGTGATTGCATCTCTTATCTGCAAGTTGCAAATACAAGTCTGTGACACTCTCCACTGTGTGCTGTTGCTGGACATAACTTTGTCTTACCTCCCTGACCTCCCACTCTGTCATATGCGAAGCTGCCTTTTCTTTTTCTAATAGGGTATGGCAGCTAGCTAGCTACTGAAGTCTTAGGAGTTATGGTTTCAGGAGATTTGGCCCATGTGACTCAAACATTTTCATGTGTTTTTTTTTTTTTCTACATTTTGGTTTGTTGAGCCTCAATTTGGGTCCAAATTTGCTTATATTTTTTATTCAAAGCATAACATAATATAGTAAACCAAATTAAGCAAAATATAGCAGCCAAAAGCGCAAAAAACCCTAGACTTTTTTGCACTCTCTTAAATAAAGATGTGGTTGTGCTATTTGTGCAACTTAAGTGACAAAACTGCTATATCCCTGTTAGTTAATGATCAGACATTACTTGTGCGGATGAGTTCTGAGCAGTCTATTTTCTTCTTAGTTATTATACATGGATATAATTTTATCGTTGACACTGATGAATACTATGGAACAATTTTATATCCAGTTAGTGTGCAATCCCTAGAATACAGTTTCCTTAATAAGATTTTCTAGCTGTATCAGGTGCTAAAAGGGCCCGGATTATTGTTGATGAATATCAACCTTCAGTTCATTTTACATATACTTCCCTAACAAGGTTTGTTAATGGTACATTATTTGTGAGCCCAATGTTTAAAAACAAAGCTTTATTTGTTATTTTTTTTCTATTAAAACTTAAGGTGTCTCAATCATACGACTTGGTTTCATTGTTTGAAAATTTCACTCCTGTTTTAACACTTTCCAGGCCTAGTAGACAGAAGCTTCAGGAACTTCTACAACAATGGTCAGAATGGCATGCTAAACATGTTTTGCCATCCAATGTAATAAGCCCAATTATTATTATTATTATTATTATTATTATTTTCATAGTGAAATAATATTTCCCTTAATAATCAATGAGTAAATAAATGATAGATAATAAAATATCATGAAAAGAAACCATAAAAGATGAATAGAAATATAAGTTAAGGATTTGAAATGAAGTTGGAGCTCATCTTCCCAGTTATCATTGTTTAGGTAGCTGTAATCCAAATAATGACCAATGTTTGTACAAGATCCTTAAATGCAAATATAGGCAAACTTTTCTCTTAAAAATCATAGAGTCATTTATGTTATAGGGCTATCTATTTCAAACCAAGATTTTGAAGTTTGTTTTTGAGGATTAGACAATTGTTTTGGCATTTGTGAAGGGTTGAATATTGTTGAAGTATTTATTAGATTAAGTGTATCTTGTTGGACATTTATGAGATTAGTTGTAGACCTAGTTCCTAGAATGCATCTGTTTATCTTCTCTAGGATTAATCATGTCTCTCTATTTATTGTATCTCTGAATCTGTATTTTTATCTCCTATAAATAAGAGAACACAAGAAGATGATTTCAGACTCTCAAAATCAGTTCTTTATTTTCTTTTTCTATTTCAAGTTGGTATCAGAGCGGGTTCATCCCGCTCTGCCTGTCTCTGTTATTTTTCTGGCATTAATCGCCGTTCGCCGCCGTCCGCCGCCGTCCGCCGCCGGTGCTGTCTTCTCCGGCGCCGTTTTCCTCTTTGACACTTGGGTTTGGCTCGCCTCGAGGAGCGCGACCCAACCCCGATGTTCGCTTCCTCTATCTCCGCCTCACGCGCCTCCACGCGCCACCCTTGTCCGCGGCTTCCTCGCGCGTGGGCCTCACGCGCCGTCCTCTCGGTGGCCGTTTTGCTCCGAGCCACCTCTATCCGGCTCGCCTCGTCGTCCCGGTGCCGGATCCGCACTTTGTTTTGTGTTCTCGGTCACAAAACGTGGTGGGTCTGTGTTTTTCTCTCGCCTCTCTCGGTCCTGTCTCGACAACACTCTAACAACACGCTGGTCCTCTCTTGTTTCCTGGAAAATGTCGGAAGCGTGATCCGTATCTTTTTCGGGACTCCGACTATAACCACGAGAAAAATTAAATGGAAAAAATTATTTGTCTTGGGCTTCCTCTCGTTGAGCTCTGGTTTCTAGGTCAAGGAGTTCATGATCATCTAGAAGAAGATGGAAGTACTATACCAGCGAGATCAGGCTCCTCAATGGAAGAAACTGGATTATCAACTTTGTGCACTATTATGGCAATCTGTTGAACCACATATTTTGAGCACTCTTCGAGCCTTTAAGACATGTAATTCTTTTTGGAAAAAGGCCCAAAATATCTTTGCTAATGATATTCAACGACTTTATGATTACGCTAATAGACTTGCCTCCCTTAAGCAAGAGGATAATTCCATGATGTCCTTTGTTCGTTGAAGCTCGGTCAGTCGTTGAAGAATTAAAAATGTTCCTGGAGGCGGAATCATTAGAAGAAAGAAAGACGAAGCTGGATAAATTCTATATGGTAATGATTTTTAGGGCTATGAATCCGAGTTTAATCATGTTAGAGACTAGATTCTAACTGGAGAAGAAGTTCCTTCTACGGAGAGTTTAATCACAAGGCTACTTCGTGTTCCTTCTATCAAAAGCAAAAACGAGTCGGGAACTTGCCGATTCTTCCGCCATGGTTTACGCTCGTGGAAGAGGTAATCACGGCTCTAGAGGACGTGGTGGGAAAGGACGTCCTCGGTGCTCTCATTGCAAAAGAATGGGACATACTAAGGAAAATTGCTTTGCTCTGCACGGCTTTCCCGATAAGACGACTAATACCTCAAAATCGAAGTTGATGAGCCCAAGTTCTCTCATGAAGAGTATCAAGAATATGTAAGGATGAAATCAACCAATTTGGCTCAAGCATCTACAACACCAAATTCATCAACCGCTTGCATTTCGCAATCTGTGGAAAGTCAAAATCCATGGATTATTGACTCGAGTGCTTCGACCACATGTCCGGTAATACCTCTTTATTTTCCTCTCTTTCATTTCCTAAAACATCCCATCTCATATCTTTAGCTAATGGATCTAAAGTAGCCTCTAAAGGAATTGGTCAAGTATCCATCTCTTCTTCTTTAAACCTTCAAAATGTTCTTTGTGTTCCTTCTTTTCCATTCGAGTCTTGTTTACGTAAGCCAATTAACCAAATCATTGGATTGCTCAGTAACCTTTAATGCCAATTGCTTTGTTATCCAGGAACGTGGTACGGGTCGACTGATTGGAGAAGGACATGAATCTGGAGGCTTATACTACCTTAGTACTAAGTCATCTGTATCTTGTGTTGCATCCTTATCCCCAAAACTGTTACATGAGCGATTAGGGCATCCTCATTTAGCAAAATTGAAAAAAATGGTTCCTGAACTTGAGAACCTTCAAACTTTTGAATGTGAAGCACTGTCAACTAGGGAAACATACCAGGTCATCCTTTCCAAATCATTCCGAATCTAGATGTGATTACGCTTTTAGTATTGTTCATTCGGATATATGGGGACCTAGTCGTGTTTCATCTTTTGGTTTTAGATATTTTGTTACTTTTATTGATGAGTTTTCTAGATGTACTTGGGTTTATCTTATGAAAGATCGTTCCGAACTATTGCCTATCTTTAAGTCTTTCCTTAATGAAATCAAAACTCAATTTGGAAAAGTAATCAAAATTTTACGAAGTGATAATGCCAAAGAGTACTTTTCTACTGATTTTTCTAATGTCCTAAATTCTCAAGGCATTTTACACCGGTCCACGTGTCCTCACACACCACGACAAAATGGTATAGCGGAACGAAAGAATAGACATTTGGTTGAAGCTGCTCGTACCTTGTTACTTGGGTGCCAATATGCCTATTCATCATTGGGGAGATGCTATTCTAACTACATGCTTTCTCATTAATAGAATGCCATCTTCTTCTCTTGATAATAAAGTTCCACACTCCATTCTATTTCCAAAGGAACCAATTTTTCATGTTTCTCCTAGAGTATTTGGATGTATATGTTTTGTTCATGACATGTCTCCTGGCTTAGATAAACTCTTACCTAGAGCTATCAAATGTGTCTTCTTGGGGTATTCTCGTCTTCAAAAAGGATATCGGTGTTATTCTCCTGAAACCAAGAGGTATTACATGTCTGCTAATGTCACCTTTTTTGAATCATCATCCTTCTTTCCTTATTCTATGCGGGATATTGATTCTGTCCAAAATGTGTTTCCTGTTCCCTTTGTTGAATCGGTTGTATCTCCTATTCACGACACCCCAAATCCCAACCAAAATACTCTAGAATCGGCATCACGACCTATCATCACCTATCAACGCAGGAACCAGGTGAACAATCCTATTCCCCAAGATGAGCCATCCATAACGGGTCCTTCACCATCATCCTCTAATACCACGGCTCCGATAACGATGACTCCAGTTGGCCCATTGCCATTCGTAAAGGTACTCGTTCTACTCGTAATCCTCATCCCATTTACAATTTTCTTAGTTATCATAGATTGTCTCCTTCCTATTGTTCTTTTATTTCCTCTGTCTCCTCTATTACAATTCCCAAAAATGTGGTCGAAGCGCTTGATCATCCTGGATGGCGACAAGCCATGATTTACGAAATGCGGGCTCTTGATCACAGCAAAACATGGGAGCTTGTTCCTCTTCCTTCGGGAAAGAAAACGAGTTGGTTGTCGTTGGATCTATGCTATTAAAGTTGGGCCCAATGGTCGGGTTGATCGTCTTAAAGCAAGGTTAGTAGCTAAAGGGTATTCTCAAATATATGGGCTTGATTATTGTGATACTTTTTCTCCGGTAGCCAAAATGACCACTTGTCCGCTTGTTCCTTGCCATGGCCGCCATTCGTCATTGGCCTCTTCATCAATTGGATATTAAAAATGCTTTTTTGCACGGTGACTTAGAAGAAGAAGTTTACATGGAGCAACCTCCTGGATTTGTTGCTCGGGGGAGTCTGGTTTGGTTTGTAAATTACGTCGATCCCTCTATGGCCTAAAACAGTCTCCACGTGCTTGGTTTGGAAAATTCAGCTCTATTGTTCAAGCTTTTGGATTAAAACGCAGCGAAGCAGATCATTCGATGTTTTTTGTCACACTGCCCCTGGCAAACATGTTTATTTAATTGTGTACGTTGATGATATTGTCATCACGAGGGAATGATGCTTGCTAAAATATCTCAGCTAAAAGAACACTTGTGTAGTCATTTTCGGACCAAGGATCTTGGAAATCTAAAATATTTCTTGGGTATTGAAGTAGCTCAATCAAGAGAAGGTATTGTCATCTCTCAAAGGAAGTATGCTCTAGATATTCTAAAAGAGACAGGTATGATTGATTGCAAACTCGTGGACGAGTCCTATGGATCCAAATTTGAAGTTAATGGCGGGACGGGGTGAAGTTTTCTCCGACCCGGAAAGATATAGAAGACTCGGTTGGGAAACTTATTTATTTGACGATTACTAGACTCGATTTGTCTTTTGCGGTTGGTGTTGTCGACCAATTTATGCAAGCTCCTTGTGTGGATCATTGGAATGCTATCATTCGAATCTTAAGATACATTAAAAAAGCTCAAGGACAAGGATTATTATATGAAGATAAGGGAAATACCCAAATTTTTGGGTACTGTGATGCTTGATCAGGCTGGATCTCCTATGGATAGGCGTTCCACTACGAGGCTATTGTGTTTTCCTTGGAGGAAATATCATTTCATGGAAAAGCAAAAAGCAAAACGTTGTTGCCCGATCCTCTGCTGAAGCTGAATATAGGGCAATGGCGTCTCTTATTTGTGAACTTGTTTGGGTAAAACAATTCTTGCAAGAATTGAACTTCGTGAGATTCAATCTATGAAGATGTATTGTGATAATCAAGTCTGCTCTTCACATTGCTTCCAACCCAAGTATTTCATGAGAGGACTAAGCATATTGAGATTGACTTGTCATTTTATTCGGGAGAAGTTGTTGACTAAAGAAATTTGTACTGAGTTTGTTGGTTCCAATGATCAGCTTGCAGATGCATTAACAAAATCTTTGAGAGGACCTCGAATGGAATTCATTTGTTCCAAGCTTGGTACATTCAATTTGTATGCTCCAGCTTGAGGGGGAGTGTTGAAGTATTTATTAGATTAAGTGTATCTTGTTGGACATTTATGAGATTAGTTGTAGACCTAGTTCCTAGAATGCATCTGTTTATCTTCTCTAGGATTAATCATGTCTCTCTATTTATTGTATCTCTGAATTTGTATTTTTATCTCCTATAAATAAGAGAACACAAGAAGATGATTTCAGGCTCTCAAAATCAGTTCTTTATTTTCTTTTTCTATTTCAAGTAATATGAATCTTAGTCTTGAGATCTCAAAATCCTTGTTAAAATGTTGTTACCTGATAACTCTTATGTTTAGAATTGGCTTTAGCCTTGGGGTTCAATAAAATATTGTAGATGACCTATAGACAAAACAGGTAGTCTAATGAACGTCCACCAGATGGAATCATAGACATTTGGTATATTGGCCAGGAAATTCGTTGCAATTGTGCTATTAACTAATATCGTTTTCTCTTTTATAGTTTTTCTATAAAATGATAAAGCTGACAATGTCTTTCTGTTTAGGATGCTAGCGAAGTAATGGAATCTGGTGAGGAGACATTTTTTCCTGCGCTTCATGTTGGGCTTGAAAAGAAATCTGCTGTGGTGAGTTTCCCTAGCCTGTTATGAGAATCTGTTAAACTGTTGGTTGTGAAATTTTCACTTTCACTGCCAGGGAACTTTTCTTCATCACTAGTTTCTACGCTTAGCATTGTCGGAATTATTCTTGTTTTCTTCAATTTCTGTCATTGTCTTAATCTGGTTAGTCTTGGTATAAAGGTTTTAGTTTTGGTTCTCGAATGATATTATGTGCAATTGGTTGTAGTAATAGAGATAGGCTTACAACAATTATTGCAGTGTGAAGTCTGCATCATTTTTATCTATATTTATTTTTATTTATCATTCATGCTGTTTTTTTTTTTCAATTAGTTCCTTGGTTAACTGCTGCATTGTGAGAAAACTAGAACGGTTGTGGTTGTGAGAAACTTGTCTGAGTCCTTGTTATACCATTATTTGTCATTATAAGAATAATGGGAATGATATTGTATTAGCTAATATGTGCAAGATAAATGCTAGCAACACACTCAAACACTCTTATTTAATGAGTCCCTATTCCACTCATGATTTGGATTCTCAATAATTTGTAACCCATAACAAAGAGTGTGTTACTCGTACTTCTCTAGGTGTACTTATTGTTTCATTTTTGAGGCTATTTATCATGCAACATGAAAAGGGAACTATATTTTGCCATACCATATATCATTCTATTCCATTTCTGTAACAGTCATTCTGGATGGAGAACCAAACAAGAAATGATAAGAACACAGATTTCATTCCTATAGCTGACAATTCTGTGCCTTTATATGACCGTGGATACACTTTGGGATTGACTTCAGCTGATGTTTCAAGTAATGTGGATGGGTATGCACTGTTACTTTGTATTATTTAAAGTTGAATAGCTTACCATTTGTAGATGGTTCATGTGATCATAGAATGTTTCAAATATAGTATTATGAGGAAGTAGGATCAGTGGAAGAATCTATTTTTTATTAGTGTGCTAACTTTTCTTGTTTGTCCAATATTGTGATGTTGCATTGCCCATAAAAAACTTCGCTTAGAATTTCAATAAAATCATCAATTGCTGTGGCTATAGAATTTGGTATTTTTGAAAAAGAAACGTAACATAAATTCTGTGCTGCCAATATTGATTCTTGTTTCTAAATTACATCTTATTATTAGCCATACCTTCTGATAGTGTTAGGATGTTTAGGTTATTAAAATTTTAAATTGGTCAGGAGAGGAAAGATTATTTTAACTTTCTTTGTAGAAGACATTTTGATTTTGCAAAGTGTAAATAAAATTGATATGATTATCAAGTTAAATTTAAGGACCATTCAGACTTGGCAACTTTATGCACGTATGCTTAATGAATATCAATTGGCTTGTTGTTTGCTATTAAGTTTATTGAATCTCCTCTTATAAAGGAAACGAGAAGCATTGAGCTATAAAGATATGATTCTAGAATAATACATATATGATCTTAATATTTCTAATTATATATTATCCTGATATGTGTAATTTTAAAGATATGATCCTTATTTATGGTCATATAAGTGACATAAGATATGATCCAAAGATATATCTATAACACTCCCTCTCAAGATAGAGCATATAACTCATACATGCTGGAAATGTGATTGGTCTATGAACCTCTTAGAGATTTGGTGAATATGTTTGCTAGCAATTCTTTGGAGTTGACAAATGTAGTAGTGATATCTCAAGAATCCTGTTTTTCTCCTATGACTAATATTAAAAGGAGAGAAATATTTTTAGAGGGGTTAATCACACCACTCTCATGATTCCATATATATAGATTCAGATAGGTACAACTCATAAATTCAACTACTACCAATTTGTATTAATTCTAAGACCCTATTCTATCATTAGCTTTTGATTTGAGTCCATGAGACTGTCTATTGGTCTATAGTCAACCATACCTGTCTTAGAATATCTAAGGCATACTTTCTTTGATAGATAACAACTCTTTCTTTTGACTGAACTACTTTAATCCCCAAAAAATATTTTAGGCTTCCAAGATCCTTAGTTTTATAGTGATTACACAAGTGTTCTTTTAGTTGAGATATTCTGGTAGCATCATTTCCTGTTATCATGATATCATAAACATATACAATCAAGTAAACACATATCTTTGGGGAGGTGTGACAATAAAAAATTGAATGATCAGCTTCATTATGTTTTAGCCCAAAAGTCTGAACAATGTGGCTAAACTTCCCAAACCAAGCACGTGGTGATTCCCATAGAAAGAACGACGTAACTTACACATCAATTCGGACTCTCCTTGAGCAACAAAACCAGGAGGTTGCTCCATGTAGACCTCCTCCTCTAAATCGTTGTGAAGAAATGCATTTTTTAATATCTAGCTATTGAAGAGACCAATGACGAATAGCAGTCATGACAAAGAAAAGACAAATAGTAGTCATTTTGGCAACTGGTGAGAAAGTATCATTATAGTCAAGACCATAAATCTGTGTGGACCCTTTTACAGTTAATCGTGCCTTGAGATGATCAATCTCACTGTTGTGGCCAACTTTAATGGCATAAACCTATTGACATCCAACTGTCTTCTTCCTAGGTGGAAGAGGCACTAACTCCCATATGTGATTTTGGTCAAGAGCTTAGATCTCGACAATGATAGTTTGTCGTCATTCAAGATGATTGAGAGCTTCAGTAACATTTTTTGTAATAGAAATAAAAGATAGAAAAGAACAATAGGAAGGAAACACCCTATGATAACTCAAAATTATATAGGATGAGGGTTGCGTGTAGAACGAGTATCTTTTTTGATGGCAATGGGCAATCAGAGATGGCGGACGGAGGCGGCGGCCGGCGGCGACTAAGACTAGTAGAGAGGGATTCACGCGCTCTGATACCAACATACTATTGAAAGGAGGGAAGTATTTTTAGAGGGATTAATCACATCACTCTCATGATCCCATATATATAGATTCACATAGTATAACTCATAAATTCAACTACTACCAATTTGTATTAATTCTAATAACTACTTGTAATACTCCTAATAGCAACCTAAATACAGTAATTCTAACACTATGAAAGACAATCTACCTCAATTCGTTTAAATCTTTCATGAAAGACATGATTAGAGACAATGTGTAATCTTGTCTACTTGTCACATATAAGGTGCATTTGGGATTTTTCTTCAAATTTAAGCTCTTTGAGAAGTTGCGTTAGTCATATGAGCTTAGAAGTGACTATATTGTGATTTTGTGCTTGAACTTGTCACAACATCTTGTTTTTTGGTTTTTCAAAAATATTAAATTTCCCCAAAAAAGAGCACAATACCATAAAGTAGAGCATTTATTGCATGGTGAGCCTATCCAATTAGCATTAGAATACCCAACAATTTGAGTATTTCTTGTCTTCATAAATAAGGCCTTTGCTATGGGCATTCTTAATATATCTTAAGATTTGTACAACTGCATCCCAATGGTGTTGAGAAGGAGTTGGAAAATGCACTTACTATGCTCACTGCAAAGATAATGTTGGAACAAGTAATAGTGGGATAGTTTAGCTTACCAACTAATCATATGTATCTCCTAGGATTTGAATACGACTCTCCTTGGTTTGGTTCAAGTTTGATACTTGGATTGATTGGTGGGTCTACTGACTTGGATTTAACATTCTTGCCTCTTCCAAAATATAAAATCATATTTCTAAAATACCACAGTTGACCAAAGTTTTTTGTTTGAAACTATTGAGTAAGTTTTTGATTTGATGAACAATATCCTCCTCATCATTACTTGAGGGTAAAATATTGAATTACAAGCTTCACTCCATAGAGAAATGCATTCTTGTTATCAAGTTGAAAGAGTCCAATGACTAATAGTTGCATAAGGAGAAGGAAAATAGATGTAATTTTGGCAATAGGAGAGAAGGTATTAAGTGTATCCTTTGGCAAATTAGAAAGACTTGATAATAATAAATGATCTCATTAGGAACAATTTTAAGAGTGTAAACCTTAACACCCAACAATTGTTTTGCCATCTAGAAGAGAAACCAACTCTCGAGTACCTCTACTTTAGAGAGCATACATCTCATCAATTTGAAGGAGGGAAAGTTGGCAATTAAATGTCAATACACCATGAATGAAGTTGATATCCTTGAAGAGGTGTTGGAGAAGCATTGTGTGTGTGTGATCTTTGAAGAGGTGTTGGAGAAGCATTGTGTGTGTGTGTGTGTGTGTTCCTCTGTGTGTGTTTTCCTTTGTTGTACACATAGGGATTTTATTCAATGTCTTTACCATTTTACTTAACATGATATCTAGGGCCTAATTCACATCCTTTTTTCTCCCGTGGACACATTGTCTATTGATGTCAATTCCTTTTAGGAAATCATGTCTCATTTCGATTTTTGACCCTCTCCTTTGTCAATGTTTTTCTCCAGTCATTTTTCACCATTTTTTTCCATTGGCTCCACTAACCATTGTCTTTATGTTGCTGACACTCTATGGGCTTCCCAACAAGTATTCATCTGTTTGTGATCAAATTTTGGGTTTGAGTTCTGCTTGGACTACCCTACTTCATGTGCTATGCAACTTATCTTTTGACATATCTTCTGCCACTCTAGGTGACACTTCTGCATTGGTATCTCAATGGGATGATTGTCACCCGTCTTGTAAACTTGGCTATGGTCGTCCTAGTTGTGATCATTGCCAAAAATTGGGTCATACAATTGGTTGGTGTTATGCTTTACATGGTCACCCTCTTTGTTTGTTCCATCTCCACCCATTGATACTAGTCCCTCTTAATTTGATACTTTTGGGTTGCTTGCTATTTTCCATGACTTGTTTTGTTTATAACCTTTGTTCTGATGTAGATAAACTATCAACTTGGTCTAAAAAATGTGTCTTTTTAAGATTCTCTCTATCTCAGAAAGGGTTTAAGTGTTTCTTACACTTGAAAAAATTTATTTAGGTTTTGATTCAGTGACCAAAGGCATTGATACATTGTATTTATAGAAAAAAAGTACAATAGAGAGGATATGAGCCTCAACCCAAATCCTTAATCCTAGTTTAAGGAACATTGAAAAATAATACTAAAAGATATATAAACAACAGATCTTAAGCTGGAGCATACAAATTTATGTACCAAGCTTGGAACAAATGAATTAAATCCTAGGTCCTCTTAAGGATTTAGTTAAAATATTTGCTAGTTGCTCGTTGGAGCTTACAAATTCAGTTACAAGTTCCTTAGACAACAACTTTTCTCTAACAAAATGACAATCAATCTCAATATGTTTTGTTCATTCGGGAAAGACTTGGTTGGAGGCAATATGGAGAGTTGTCTGATTATCACACAATAACTTTATTTGCCTAATACCACAAAATTTTAAATCTTGAAGGAGTTGTTTGATCCACACAAGTTCACATGTAGCAAGTGCCATAGATCTATACTTAGCTTCTGCACTAGATCGAGCAACAACACTTTGCTTTTTACTCTTCCAAGAAATCAATTTTTCTCCAATAAAGATACAATACCCAGTAGTCGATTTTTTATCAATTGAACAACCAACTCAGTCTGCATCATAATAACAAAAAATTTGAGTATTACCTTTATCTTCATATAACAACCCTTGTCCTAGGATCCTTTTAATATATCTCATAATGCGAATCAAGACATCCTAGTGATCAACACAAGGATTTTGCATAAGTTGACTAATTACTCCAACTGCATAAGAAATATCTGGTCTGGTAATAGTCAGATAAATGAGTTTATCAATCAACCTCCTATATCTTTCTGGATCTGACAATTTTTCTCCTTCATCCTTCATAAATTTTTGGTTAGGGTCCATTGGGGTATCAATGGGCTTACAATTTATTAAACTAGTCTCCTTCAGAATATCAAGAGCATACTTGATCACACCTTCCTTTGACTGGGCCACTTCAATACCAAAAAAATATTTCAATTGACCAAAATCTTTGGTTTGGAAGTGAGCAAATAGATGATGCTTCAGTTGGTTGATCTTAGTATAATTATTACCTGTAACAATATCATCAATATAAACCACAAGATACACACATTTGCTTGAAGAGGAATGACAATAAAACATTGAGTGGTCTGCCTCATTCCTTTTCATGCCAAACAACTGCACAACATGATTGAATTTTCCAAACCAAGCTCGGGGTGACTGCTTCAAGCCATAAAGAGATCGGTGTAACTTGTACACTAAACCAGACTCCTCCTGAGCAACAAAGCCAGGAGGTTGCTCCATATAAATCTCTTCCTCAAGGTCATCATAAAGAAAGACATTTTTAATGTCTAGTTGGTGAAGGGGCCAATGACGAATCGCAGCCATAACAAGGAAAAGACGAATAGTGAAAATCTTAGCTACCGGAGAGAATGTATTACAGTAGTCGAGACCATAAATTTGAGTGTAGCCTTTAGTTACTAAACGAACTTTAAGACGATCCACTTTACCATTATTATCAACTTTAATTGCATAGATCTACCTACAGCCCACAACGTTTTTGCCAAGTGGAAGAGAAACAAGCTCCCAAGTGCCATTGTGCTCAAGTGCCTGCATTTGATCAATCATGACTTGTTGCTATCCAGGGTGATCAAGTGCCTCATGAACATTATTAAGAATAGATGTATCAGCCAAAGAGACAACAAAAGAAGAATATGAAGGAGACAGATGATGGTAACTTCAAAAATTATAAATAGGAAAGGGATTGCGAGTGGAACGAGTATCTTTTCTAAGTCCAATAGGCTAGCCAGAATCAGAAGTGGGAGGTAAGGTTGAAGGATCCATGGTATGAGAAATTGATGGAGAGGGATTTGAATCACAATTATCTGTAGGAACTGGTAAAGGTGTAGGAGGTGAATCATTATGACTTGTAGACTGAATTGAGAAAAATACAAGTATAGACAGAACTTGTTGAATTGATGAACCATCTTCCATTGGGGAAGAAAAGAAGGGTGTTTCTTCAAAGAAGGTGATATCAACCGACATATAATATCTTTTGAAAGATGGAGAATAACATTTATACCCTTTCTGAAGGGGAGAGTACCCCAAGAAAACACATATAATGGCCTTAGCAATTAGTTTATCAAGACCTGGAGATATATTGTGAACAAAACAAGTACAAAATACACGAGGAGATACATGAAAAAGAGGATCATATGGGAAGATAAGAGCATGTGAAATTTGTTTTCTAAGAGAGGAAGATGACATCCGATTAATAAAAAAACAAGCAGTGAGAACTGCATCTCTCCAATGATGAACAGAGACATTAGCATTGAACATTAGAGAGCTTGTAGTCTCAATAAGGTGTCTATTTTTCCTTTTTGCAATGCCATTTTGTTGTGGGATGTGAGAACAAGTTGATTGATGTAAAATTCATTGGGAAGATAAAAAAGAAGAAAAGGAGGCAGAGAAATATTCTTTGGCATTATCACTTCCGAGAACTTTAATTATCTTTCCAAATTGATTTTTAATTTCATTGAAAAAGGACACAAAAATGGACAAAAGTTTGGATCTGTCTTTCATCAAATAAACCCAAGTACATCTAGAAAATTCATCAATAAAGGTCACAAAATACTAAAAGGCATAAGAGGAAACACGATTTCGTCTCCAAACATCAGAATGAATATTTGAAAAAGGAAAATTATATCGAGTTTCAGACTATTTAGGAAAAGTAGACCTAATATGTTTTTCTAATTGACAAAATTCACACTCTAAAAAGGAAGATGTTGAAGATTAGGAGTCATCACTTTCAACTTAGATAGACTTGGGTGACCCAGATGAAAGTTTAGGGATAGGCGAAACCAGACAAGACACTGAAGGACTTGGTTTTAGATTGTACATATTCATGTTCTTCTCCAATCAGACGACCTGTACCATGTTCCTGAATAACAACAAAATTGGAAGTAAAGGTTACAAAACAATTCAAAGAATGAGTAAGTTGACTTAGAGAGATAAAGTTATAAGGGCAATTAGAAATGAAAAAAACAGAATTTAAATTTAGAGATGGGGTTAAAGGAACTTGGCCAACACCTTGAGATTTCACTTTGGATCCATTAGCTACAGTGATTAAATGAGGAATTTTAGGATAGGACATGAAGGAAAACGAGAAACTATTACTAGATATATGATTAAAGGCACCTGAATCAAGAATCCATGGGTTCTGACCTTCCACAGATTAAGAAATGCATGTAGTTGAAACACTTGACATTGAAGAGGATTGACCTTGACTGTTAAACTTTCTAGATTTGAACTTCAAAAACTCCTGATACTCCTCATTAGAAATCTTCATATTTGGCTTCTTCGATTTAGATGCATGGGTAGTCTTATCAGGAAAGCCATGCAAGGAATAACAATTTTCTTGCGTGTGTCTTATCCTCTTACAATAGGTGCATTGAGAACAAATTTTCGAACTACCACGTCCACCTCGATTGTTGTGTCCTCCCCTTCAACCTCTAGGGGCAACCATAGCAGAAGTTTCAACCGTCTCCACCTGATTCTCATCAACCATGAGATTAGGAACCCGAATCAACTTAGTGACAAGATTATCCATTGATGGAACATGATCGCCAACTAGGATTTGATCACGCACATGATCAAAGTCAGAATGCAGATTTCTCAAAATATGAATCATATATAGCTTATCGAGTTTGGTGTTTAACTTTTCTAAGGTATTTGCAACAAGAAACTTTTTTAATTCTTCCACAGCAGCCCTAGCTTTTGCGATGTGAGCCATCATGTTGTGATTGGTTTGCTTAAGTGACATTACTTTTTGAGTTACATCAAAGAGACGTTGAATATCATTAACAAAAATGTCTTGAGCCTTTTTTCGAAAAGAAGAATAGGTTTTGAATGACCTGAGAAACTCAAGAACATCCGATTCCACAGACTGCCATAAGATTGTACAAAGTTGGAAGTCTATTTTCTCCCACTGAGACCTTTTTGCAGTGGAAATAGAGTTTACATCTTTCTCCAATTGGTCGTGATGCCCTTGACCAAGAAACCACAGCTCAACTGAAGCATACCAGGATAAGTAATTTTTCTAGTTGAGCTTGACACTAGTTATGGTGGGAGTAGCAGAGCATGAGGCCATTTGAACCAAAAAAAATGAATAAAGCCAACGAATAAGGTTAGCACGGGACTATTCACACACTTCTCAAACCAGAAAACTAAGGGCACAACTGGACTCGGAGGACGGTGGCTAGTCGAATGGAGGTGGTTGGCCTTGATTTCGACCATTGAAAGGCGGCGTGTGAGACACGCGCTAGAGAGGGCTCACCGAGATGACCGCACATGGGGCAGCTGACGGAGGAGCGACTTGCAGGTCCAAACAGAGACGGTGGCTGACGGTGATGACAGCTAACAACGGTCGGAGCTAATAAAGGCAACCGGAAATCAGTGCGGGATCTTACCCGCTCTGATACCAAGATAAAACTTATTTAGGGTTTGATTCAGTGACCGAAGACACTGATACATTGTATTTATAAAAAAAAAAAAGTACAATAGAGAGGATATGGGCCTCAGTCCAAACCCTTAACCCTAGTCTAAGGAATATTGAAAAAAATACTAAATGATACATAAACAACAGATCTCAACACTTATCTCTCTTCTTCGCTATTTGATCTTTATTGACGTCATCTTCCTTGAGTCCTCCCTCTACTTTGTGTTTAATATCCCTTTGAGCTTAACCCAAACCCCACCTCCACCACCTCACTTGTCTTTGATCCTACCATCATGTCCAGTGCACCACCTGATCTGTCGCCTCCATCTCCTCTTTAGGTGTATCATTGTCGAAAGTGTCCACACCTTTCAATAAGGCCACCTATTGATTTTTCATTGGTGCCACCTCCTTCCTCCCTTTTGATCTCATCACATGAGTATGATCTTCCTATTTCTCTTCATAAAAGTATAAGCTCCACTTGCAACCCTTCACCTTATTATATTGCAATGACCTATCACCGATTGTCTTCATCTCTTTATACATGTCTTTCTTCTATATCCTCTATATTAATCCGAAAACTCGGTGATGCTTTAGCCCACCTTGGCTAGAGACAAGCTTTGGTTGCTGAAGTGTGTGCTCTTAAAGATAGTGGAACTTGGGAGTCTGTTCCTTTGCCCCCTAGTAAATCTGTTGTTGGTTGGAAGTAGATCTTTGTTATCAAAGTTGGCCCTGGTGGCATTGCTAATTGCCTCAAAGCTTGCTTGGCCGCTAAGGGTTATACTTGAATTTGGGTTGTACTATAGTAACACCTTCTATCCAGTTGCCAAGATGATTTTTGTCCACTTATTCGTTGCCATGGTTGCCCTTCGGCATTGGTCCTTTTATTAATTAGATGTTACAAATGCCTTCTTTCATGGTAATTTGTTGGAGGAAAATTACATGGAGCAACCACTTGCTTTTGTTGGTCAAGGGGAGTCTTTTGGAATGATATGTTGTCTCACACCAATCTTTATATAATCTCAAACAGTCTCTAAGGACATGGTTTGGTAGATTTAGTGTAGTGGTCCAACAATTTGGCATTATTCTAAGTGAAGCAGGCCATTTGGTGTTTTATTGTTGTTAGATATGATTAGATATTAGTTGATATTGTTTGATATTGTTGAGATATTGTTAATCACAATATCAAATAATATCTTTTTTTTATTTACCCTATTTGTATTCTGTTACTCTTTTGAGGAGTATCTTTTCTTTATTATAAATACACTGCCCTATGTGTGGTAAATACATAAGGGAAATTAACCCTATATTCAACATGGTATCAGAGCTTAAGGTCTCTTGGGATTTTTTTTCGGCTCTGCCACTGAACCTGCAGCTGTCGCCGCCTCCATCGCCGCCGCCACCGCCGTCCGCGCCGCCGCCGCCGCCGCCGCCAGAGTAGCAGTTCGGACCGCCAAGCACGTGGTTTTGCTCGCCTCCTCCGTGCGACCTCCACCGTGGAAGTTTCGCGGTCATCGGAGCAGCCCATGCTCCCTCGCGCGCCTCCCGAAGCCGCGCCACCTTCTCCCGTTCCGCCGCGCGTGGCGGCGCGTCTCGCCGCCGTTCGGGCCGCCGATCTTTGCGCCGGCGTCGCCTCCTTCTCCTCTCTCTCGGATCTGTCCTCGCTCGCTCCAATCGGACCTCTTTGGTGTTTTAGGGTTTTTCTCTCTCTTCCTCCATGGCATCTTCTGCTGCCACTTCCAATTCGAAGTTACCTCCGTCGACTCCGGTGGGTCCGAGCAATCTGCTTTTACTAATTATGTCAATGTGAATTTACCCATTGATAAATTAGATGGTACGAATTATGCAACTTGGGCATCTGATATTAGACTTTGGCTTGAGAGTCGGGGTATGTTGATCATCTTACTACCAAGGTAGATGATGTTCCTTCCAATGATCGTGTCCGTTGGAAGAAAGTTGATGCTCATATATGTATGGTTCTCAAGAATACCATCCAATCTTCTTTAAAACAAATTTTTCGATCGTATGGCACATGTTATGACGTTTGGGAACAAGCCAAATTATTATACACCAATGACACTCAACGTCTTTATGGTGTTTGTTACAATCTTCTTGATGTTATTGCTCCTCGAGATAAGGATCCTGTGGCGGATTATGTGGGTAAGATCCATGCTCTTCTCCATGAATTTAATGAGTTATTACCCCCTGCCTCGACTCCTACCCAAGAATTAGAGCAACGATCAAAGTTTTTCATGGTTTTGATGTTACACGGACTTGCTCGATAAATATGCCCCTGTTCGTGACCGGATTTTGGGTTCCCCTGTTACACCCAGCTTTACCGCTACCAGCTTCCTCCCTTTTGTGGGTGCCATGTAAACCTCTCAATATTCCCCCTGTAGTTTCTAATGATTCATCTGCCTTGGCCTCTCACCGTGATGATTGTAATCGCTCTCACAAGCCTGGCAAAGGGCGTGTCAAGTGTGACCATTGTGGCAAACTAGGCCACAAAATTGACAAATGTTATGCTTTACATGGTTATCCTCGCCGATCTGCTGCAGCTTGCTCGGACCGATTCTTCCGCACAATCCTCTGCTGTGGATCCTCCTTCGTCTGTACCTTCGGACAAATCTGCTATCTTCAATGATTTTCTTCAATGGTATGAGGATCGAAAGCCCTCCAGGTTCCACTACTTCGTTGCCCACACAGGTACATCTTTTGCTGGTCTGACTCACTCTTCTTCTATTGGCCCTTGGGTTCTTGACTCAGGCGCCACCGATCACATCACTGGTAACAAATCCTTATTTTCATCTTTCACTTCTTCTCATAATTTACCCTCTGTTACAATGGCTAATGGGTCTACAACTTTAGCTCATGGTATTGGAACGGTTACTCTTTTTCCCTCGTTGTCCATTGATAATGTTTTGTATGTACCTGGGTCCCCCTTTAACTTATTATCCATTAGCCGTCTAACTCGATCTCTTGATTGTGTTATCTCTTTTACCAAAACTTCTGTTTCCCTACAGGACCGGAGCTCGCAAAGAGTGATTGGCACCGGATGTGAGTCACATGGACTTTATTATCTTCAACCTTCTCCACATGTTGGCACAGTTATGGAGTCTCCTTCTCTCCTTCATGCTCAGCTTGGTCACCCCAGTCTGCGCAAATTACAGCAACTTGTTCCCAGCTTATCCCAGTTGTCCAATTTGGTGTGTGAGTCCTGTCAGTTAGGCAAACATAGTCGTACTTCCTTTTCTCGTATCCCAGCGTGCCTCATCCCCCTTTGCCTTAGTTCACTCTGACATTTGGGGACCCAGTCGTGTTAAGTCTAATTTAGATTTTCAATATTTTGTTACTTTTATTGATGATTTCTCTCGTTGTACTTGGTTATTTTTAATGAAAAATCGTTCTGAGTTGTTTTCTATATTCCAAAACTTTTATCATGAAATTAAAAATCAATTTGGTGTTTCTATTCAAACTTTTCGAAGTGATAATGGCCGTGAATATCTTTCAAACTCGTTTAAACAATTTATGGCTTCTTATGGCATTCTTCATCAAACTTCCTGTGCTTATACCCCTCAACAAAATGGGGTGGCTGAGCGCAAGAATAGACACCTTATTGAAACAACCCGTACTCTTTTAATTCATGGTGAGGTTCCTCAACATTTTTGGGGTGATGCTATTCTTACTGCCTGTTATCTTATTAATCGTATGCCCTCTTCGGTTTTAGATAATAAAATTCCCCATTCTATTTTATTTCCTCATGACACTCTCCATCCTTTACCTCTGAAGGTTTTTGGGTCTACCTGTTTTGTCCACAATTTTGATCCTGGTCATGATAAGTTATCTCCTCGATCACACAAATGTGTTTTCTTAGGATTTACTCGATCCCAAAAAGGATACAAGTGTTTTTCTCCTTCTCTTAATCGCTATTTTGTGTCTGCCGATGTCACCTTCAATGAGTGTTCCTTTTACTTTAAGGACCCTTCCCTACCTGCTGAGTCTCCATCTGCTACAGTTTCCATTCCTGTTCTCATTGATCCTTATGTTGAGGACCATCCACCATTAGCCCCTCCTCCTCCACCACCCCTTCGGGTTTATAGTCGCAGACCTCGCCCACAATAGACGCCACATGACTCACTCCCGGTGCCAAATACTCGCCTCCTCCGATTCCGTCCACGAGTCCGACCTTCCTATTGCCCTTCGTAAAGGTACGCGTTCTACTCGTAATCCTTCTCCACATTATACCGCTTTAAGTTATCATCGAATTTCTTCACCATTTTATACCTGTCTCTCGTCTATTTCTTCGTGTCTATTCCTAAATCTGTCTCGAAGCCTTAGCCCACCCTGGTTGGCGTCAGGCCATGCTAGATGAACTCGGTGCTCTTCGGACTAGTGGAACCCGGACGCTTGTCCCATTACCATCTGGAAAATCTGTTGTTGGTTGCAGGTGGGTCTTCGCTATCAAGGTTGGTCCTGATGGTATTATTGATCGCCTCAAAGCTCGCCTTGTAGCCAAAGGCTATACCCAAATTTTTGGGTTGGATTATGGTGATACTTTCTCTCCAGTGGCAAAGATGGCTTCTGTTCGTTTATTCATTGCCATGGCTGCTATTCAACAATGGCCTCTTTATCAACTGGATGTCAAAAATGCTTTCTTGAATGGCGATTTGCAAGAAGAGATTTATATGGAGCAACCTCCCGGATTTGTTGCTCAGGGGGAGTCTTCTGGATTGGTATGTCGTCTTCGCAAATCTTTATATGGCCTAAAACAGTCTCCTAGGGCCTGGTTTGGAAAATTTAGCAACGTTGTTCAACAATTTGGCATGACTAGAAGTGAGGCGGACCACTCGGTCTTTTACCGTCACTCGAATGTCTGGATGTATCTATTTGATAGAGTATGTCGATGACATTGTTCTTACAGTGTAGTGACCATCATGGCATCTCTCAGATGAAACAACACCTTTGCCACCATTTTCAAACCAAAGATCTTGGCAAACTCGGATATTTCTTGGGTATTGAGGTAGCACAATCTACCGATGACATTGTTATATCTCAAAGAAAGTATGCATTGGATATTTTGGAGGAAACTGGGTTGATGAATTCAAAGCCTCGTTGACACACCCATGGATCCTAATACCAAACTCTTGCCAAATCGGGGGAGCCAATGTCGGATCCCGAACAAGTATAGAAGATTAGTTGGAAAATTAAATTATCTTACAGTTACTCGCCCGACATTTCCTTTGCGATCAGTATGGTGAGTCAATTCCTCAATTCTCCTTGTCAAGATCATTGGAATGCAGTCATCCGTATATTGAAGTACATCAAAAAGTCTCTTGGAAAAGGTTTGGTGTATGACTCCCATAATCATACAAGAGTTGTCTGCTATTCGGATGCTGATTGGGCAGGATCTCCCTCCGATAGAAGATCTACATCCGGGTATTGTGTTTCCATTGGTGGTAACTTGATCTCATGGAAAAGTAAGAAACTAAGTGTTGTGGCAAGATCCAAGTGCAGAAGCGAGTATAGAGCTATGGCCTCAGCTACCTGTGAACTTATTTGGCTCAAGCAATTGCTTAAAGAGCTACAATTTGGAGATGTCACTCAAATGACACTAGTGTGTGACAATCAGGCTGCTCTCCATATAAGCTCTAATCCTGTCTTTCATGAGAGAACTAAACACATTGAGATTGACTGCCATTTTATTCGGGAAAAGATTATGTCTGGAGACATCAAGACTGAGTTCGTTAACTCATGTGATCAATTAGCAGATATTTTCACTAAGTCTTTACGGGGACCTAGGATGGATTATCTTTGTACCAAGCTAGGCACATACGATTTGTATGCTCCAGCTTGAGGGGGAGTGTTAGATATGATTAGATATTAGTTGATATTGTTTGATATTGTTGAGATATTGTTAGATATTGTTAATCACAATATCAAATAATATCTTTTTTTTATTTACCCTATTTGTATTCTGTTACTCTTTTGAGGAGTATCTTTTCTTTATTATAAATACACTGTCCTATGTGTGGTAAATACATAAGAGAAATTAACCCTATATTCAACAATTGTGACACAAATAATGGGTGTATCTAGTTGATAGTGTAGAAGAAAGTATGCATTGGAGATTGAGGTAGCACTACCTAACAATGGAATTGTTTTTCTCAGAGAAAGTATGCATTGGATATTGTAGAAGAAACTGGAGAAAGTATGCATTGGATATTGTAGAAGAAACTGGACTAATGAATTCCAAGTCTATCGACTCACCCATGGATCCAAATACAAAATTTCTACATAGATAAGGGGAACTACTTCTTGATCTTGAGAAATTCAGAAGGCTTGTTGAGATGCAATTATTCGCATTTTGAAGGATAGTGTAGGTGATCCGAGAAAAAGGCTTGGTACAAGGTCATAACAATCACACTTGAGTTGCAAACTACTCTGATATAGATTAGGTAGGCTCTTCTTTTGATTGGAGATCCACCTATGGATATTGTATCTTCATTGGTGACAATTTAATCAACTGGAAACATAAGAATCAAAATGTAGTGGCAATATCTAGTGCATAAGCGTAGTATAGAGCTATGACCTCTACTACTTGTGAGCTTATTTGACTCAAACAATTGCTTAAAGAGCTAAGACTTGGGAGGTCATACAAATGACTCTCATTTGTGACAATAAAGTTGTACATATTGTCTCAAATTCCTCTTCCCCATTCTTCACCTCTTGTTGTGACAATCATGATATAAGCATAGTATAGGTTGTTTTGGTTGTCTATATAATAATATTTTATTATGAGTACAAATTCCTCTTCCCCATTCTACACCCCTGTCTCTCATGCGCTCCACTCCTTTCTCTTTTCCTATTCCTTTTCCCCAATCTACACCCACTCCTTATCTTTCCCTATTGCATCCCTCTATTTTACTCTGTTTTTCAGATTCCAGGACCTGTCTCTCTTTCCCTTCCACACCTTTCTACTTTTACGTGGAGCAGCAGATGCAACTATGGTGGCAACGACAGCAGTGGTGGCATGGCAGCAACAATGACAGCGATGGCAACACCAGCCACTATGGGCCACCATGAAACGCCATGCAAAATCAGCTTCCATGATTCAACGATTTCACGATTTTCTTAGTTGATCCCCCCGATCCTACTCTAATACAATTTTGCATGGACTTTGACACAGAAGCAGGGTGTATAACCGTGATGATGGTGTTGAAAATGTTGATTGTGGTTCAGGAGTGTGATTTATCATTCAAGCAGTCTATGGCTCTTGATCGTGCGGTGTTATCTTTTTAACTCTTAACCGCATTAAGAGTAAGGAAGTGACTTGGAATTTTTTTGCATCAGCTCAACGGTGAAATAATTTATCCTGCACTTATTTCTTTGCCTGTTCCTACATTTGTTTCGATGTCTTCCTCTTTTTATTTTTGTAATGAAGTAGATGTGCCTAAAGATGGAGATATTTTGAGGATTTTCTTTTATTTTGTGTTGAAAGACGTTCTGCATTTAATTCTAGTGAAGCAAAAGAAAACGGAGATAGATGTTTTTCATTGGATTTCAATCTCCAACCTGGGAATTGTGGGAACTTCTCTTGATTTATTATGATGGAATTGAATTTCATAGACCTTTTTACATTTATTTCTCTTCTGATATGTATTAATATTTTTCACCATCTTGAGGTAATAATTGTTTTTTATGCATATTGTGTTTTGGTGGTATGTTAATAATTCAAGATGAAATGTTCATTTGCTTTTTGAGTGGCTGCTCATTAGTGCAGCTGCTTTGTATTTCTTCAAAATAAAATATACTTCTTGTTTCTGTCATATTGATTTACCTTTGATTTTTTACATATTGTAGTGGTTTAGAGATTATTGATGATGCTGCTCGGTGTTTCAATTGTGGTTCTTACAATCACTCTTTGAGAGAGTGTCAAAGGCCTCGTGACAACACTGCTGTCAATAATGCTCGTAAACAACACAAGTCCCGACGGAACCAGAGTTCTTCCTCCCGTAATCCAACTCGTTATTATCAGAATTCTCCAGCTGGAAAGTATGATGGTTTGAGGCCAGGTGCTCTGGATGATGTAACACGTCAACTTTTGGGCTTGGGGGTAAGTTTTTAAAATTCTGTTTTGATTTTATTATTAAAATAAATTTCCAACCATAAGGTCTTTAGTATATTTCTTTGGACCAGAAATAAGTTTTATTGAAAGGATTGAGGAAAATTCAACTAAAGGAAACTATTGGGGATAAATAAAAAATGCAGCAAGGCTTTCCAATCTTCAGCATATTGGACATAGCCATTCCCTTAAACTGCAGAGCAGAACACTAAAGAGAAGTCATGAACACAACCTGCCGATGCCATGAAAAGGTTTAGGAACAAATGTGGACCCTAAAGAAACCATTCTTATGCACCAGCCAAACACTGCAAAATCTGAATCGAAAAGCCAAAAATCAAACAAACTGAACATAATACAAAAAGAAAAAGATAACCAATTTTTTTATGTTGGATCAAATAGGGTCAATCAATGTCCAAACAATGCTGTGTGTGATTTTATTTATGAAATTACCATACCACTCATAGATATTTATAAAATCATTATGCCAATTTATTTTTCTATATTATATTTACTAAATTATATTTAATTTTTTAATATATTTTGTAAATTTATAAACCTATGAATGTATGATTTTTGTTATTTTATCTTTCATTTCTATATTACTTTTTTTTAAAAGCTTGCAGTAATTGGCTTATGAGATGTGATATTTGATACTTTGAATATGTATTAATTATATTAATTTTGTGTTTCATTGTTTGTGTATTGCTTTTTAAAATAATAATAATAATGAAAACATTGATCAATCCACTTTATATTAGGTTACGGTCGTATTTGATTATTTTTTCATGATTGGGTGGGATATCAATTTTGAACAAACCAATTAGTGAATGCTCCTGAAAATTGCCATGTACAATGTTAGTCATGCAAAGCACACTAAAGTTGCTTCGATATAAGAATTTCTACCTTGTGCTTAACTTCTCAATTGCACTACATCCTGGTAGAAAAATATAACTCTTTCGAGGAAGCTACCAGCCATCACGATGAATTCATGAGAAGATAATCCTTTGATTCTCAATGTGAAAATTTAAATATTTTACATAGTATGGAAAGGTGAATAGAGTAAAGGAAAATGATAAGTAGATTTATATAATATTACTTAACCTAAACACAGTGGAAAACTTGAGAACCACGTGGCACTTGTTTCCGATTACACAAGAAGAAACCCTTCTTTTAACATGCAATATTTCCCTTAAAACTTCATTCATATATATATATATATATATATATTATTTTTTTTTCCTTTCTTTTTGTTTATGTTGAATGTACACTATCTTTTAAATTATATCAATTGAACACGATTAACTTATCCAACCTCTAAGTTGTTAAGTAGCTATTTATCTTGAAGAAAAAATTGGAATAAATATATGCTTTGAATGTGAGGTGTAATTAACAATCTGCATGTTAAACTGATGGTTTCTAAGATAATAAATTCATAACCAAATTGGCATGATGACATAATTGGGTCGTGGTAGATAGTTTGAAGATTGCACTATTTTGTCTTTGATACTAATGCTGGAGTATAACTAAGCCATACATTAGAAGAGTTTTGAGATTTGGCAAAATTATCAGTCTTTAAGAAATATAATTAGATTTTTTTAATGCAGGAGCTTGATCCACCTCCATGGCTTAACAGAATGCGAGAAATAGGATACCCACCTGGATATCTTGGTAAATACATATCTTTCACCTCAGTTTTTTGTTTTGTTTCATGATACCCTGCCCATGACCCGCCTAAATGATCATCTTGTGTTTTAAGTGGTGCATATGCATCGAATTCATAGTTTAAATTTAATGCTATGAGCATTAGTTACTAGACAGGTTTGATAAATCTGCTGAGGTAGTTCACCAGCCTAATAATGAACTTGTACTGTTATTTTCAAGTTTTTGTTTATGACTTTTGGTTGCTATGTACTGTATTGATTTTCCTTTTTCCCTTTTCATCTTTCCTGAGTTTCTGTATTGTATGAATTAACTCTATAACCTATGCTTGGATTTAGACGTGGATGATGAAGATCAGCCTTCAGGCATTATAATATACACGGACAGGGAGATTGCAGAACAGGAGGATGGTGAAATTATGGAATCAGAATCTGATTCTTCAAAACCAAAGCGGAGAATGACTGTCAAATTTCCGGGGATAAATGCTCCTATTCCTGAAAATGCAGATGAGAGATTGTGGGGCTCTGGGGTTGGACCCTCAAGTTCAGATATTTCAAGAACCTTGTCATTGCCACAGAACAGATCGAATTTTAGTTCTGACTATGGCAGCCGAGGACATCATCGGGAGGATAGATTGGGAGGGGATCTTAGGGATGATGGTCCACCAGGGGACCCAGGACATAGTTCATCCAAGTTTAGTTTTCATCCCAGGTTTGGTGGTCATGATTCTGTTCCAAGAAGTCCTTCTTGGTCAAGATCTCAATCTGACTGGAGTAGAAGTCCTATGCATGATGAAGAACCCCAAAAGCCTTTTTCTTTCCATTCTCTTCATTATCCATATCCAGAGAGGCATTTTTCGCTCTTGGACCGAGATTCTGCTAGATTAGAGAACTGGACCTCTGAAAACTGGTATGACAGAGACCGGGATCTTTCGTCTAGGGTTAAGGACAGGTCAGACGAACGGCATCATCGCAGTTGGAGGTGAGGATGGCAGCAATAGGATCTCAGCATATTGGTAGGTTCTGATGATACATATCTGTTATTCATACACTGAAATTATTTACCCTCACCCTATTAGGAGGGACTGGTGTTATGCAAAGATGGCAGATTTAATCATTTCTCTGGTTTTGCTTTATTTGCACTGCCCCTTATTTCTTTAATGGTTGTTTACTATAGTCTATATAGGCAACTCCTAACGCTGACTTGTAGAATGAATGTTTAGTCCATGTTTAAATCTCTGCTATAGAATATGGTTACTGTGGAAGAAGAGTCTATTGCAACTTTTTTTTTTTTGGGATTATATCTCTCTAACAGTATGTATTGTATTAACGAAATAAAATGTCTTATGCAATGTTTGTGTAGCAGCTGGCTCCAAAACAGCTACAGGGAGATAACCAATGGTGGGATAGGTTCTGTTATTTTTAGCTTATATAATATATAAAAATTCACAAATAAATTCACAAGTATGATTAAAATTACTCAAAAATAATAACATTCATTATTTATTAACATTAAAAGGAATATGTAATCTTTTAACAAAAGCACAATAAAATACCTAAATAAGTAAACAAAAATTCTAGTCTTTTTATTGGAATTATCAGTCGTCATCTTCTAGATTCAAGTATTTGGACTTATATTAGTTAACATAAATTATGTTACTTTGAAATATGATTTTTAACATATAAAAATTAATTTTAGTTTAAACCAAAAAAGGAAATACAAAGAGAGCAAATTTTACTGAAACCCAATAACAACATCTATATTGTGGATAGAAATGATAAAATGGGTTGAGTTTCACATGTTGGTCCTCTGGTTGTCTTTGAGTTGATGAATCCGACTGATATTAACTTGTTTAGCTTACTAAAATCTTGCTTGCTTCACTTACTAACTTGATGGATCAAAGGTCAGATGAGTTGACTTATTGATTAATTTTTTTTAATATATATATATATATATATATATATATATATATATACATATTATTTATTAACATTAAAATGAAATAAATTATAATTTGTACATTTTTTAGATAAAAATATAGTATAGTAATTTAAATCATAAATATATATAAATCAAACTTTAAATGATTGATTTCTCGTCAGTAATTTAATATGTAAATATAGCAATTATCTTCATTTATTTAATAAAAGATATTAATTTATTTAATAAAAGATATTAATTAATGAGTAGAAAATTAACAAATAATTATATAATTAAGTGTATTTTTTTTAAAAATTATTTTATATATATAAAAAAATATGGTGAATTGACTGATTAACATGTTTTTTAATAAAACAAGTTAAAATTTATAGTTAGTCTTAATTATAAAGGATTAATTTGTGATTTATTTTTTGTGATCCATCCATGTGACAAACTAAAAATGGGACAATCTATGGTGAAAGACTATATTCATTCTTACAATAGCCATATGAAATACAAGGTAGAAAACTATTTTATTAGTATAATATCTAATATTTAATTTCACAAGTATGATTTTTGTTATTTTTGTTATTTCAATTTGGTTAATGTTATTTTTTTCTCAACGAATTTTCTATGCTTTTGTCTATAGTTTGTTTCAATTTGTTATTGGCCTACTTTCGCCTAGTGATTTTTGTATAATGAATTGCATTTTGCTCAATGAAAATTGTCCATTTTTGTGGTTTTCTATCAGTGTTTTTTTAATTTTTTTAATTTTTTTGCCTTTCAAGTTTGTGGTTGAATACTTATATCTCAACTTCATAAAAAACCTTAGTTTTGATCTAAAAATTGAAAAAGAAAAATAGAAGGATAGAATTTGTCTTCATCTAGTAAAAATTATAATCAAAATACTATATATGAAAAAAACTCTTAAAGAATTGGTTGCACTAAATGTCACATCATAATTTGTATATTCAATATGATAATGATGATGTGCCTTTTGTTCTTAAAATCATATTAATATATTTCTTACTAAGATTTTATGGTCTTGTAGGAGAAGATCTATACAAACATATTAAGTAATTCCATAGTATTCTCTTTACTATGAAACCTCAAGGTATTAGTGAGGATCACTTAAACTTTAAACATTTTCATTTTCACTACATGAAGGGATCAATGATTGGTTGTATTATTTACCACTCGAATTTATCACTACATGTGATAGATTGAAGAGAATGTTCTTAAAGAATTTCTTTCTAACATCTAGAGCTACATCCACTAGAAAGGAAATATATGACATAAGGCAAAGAGAGTTTGTATGAATATTGTGTGAGATTCAAAAGATTATGAGAAAGTTACCCACTCCTTATCTAATACTTCTAGTAACGTTTAACTATTATGGATAAGAGTATGATTGATATAACAAGGCCAGACAATTGATTGAAAACATAATTATTAGTTTACAACCATTCTCTATTAGAGGTTGCACAACTCTTAGAAGCATTTTTGAAATTCAAGTTGAATATTTTATGTAACATTAAGAATTGAAAAACAAGATTGATAATTTAGTCTCAATGGTCAAGAAATTGGAACAAACACAAGCACACCATCAACCATAAAGCATGCCACAATTTTTTTTTCCTTTGGTTGAAGCCATGTGTGAATACACATTTCATCTACCCATGCTATACATAAATGTTCATCTCTAAAAAGGCATGCCAAAACAACAAGATCCGTATGTTTTTGTTATTGCACAATTTCTATAATATTCTCTACAATAATTTGTACAACATGTTGATTTAAGCTCCAACAAATACAATCCAATATGGAGAAATCACCCAAACATGAAATGGGAAAATAATGTCAACACTTTACAACAACATAATTATTACTCTGCTCAACTTAATTATCTACAACCACCACCATAACAACCATTCTATCCATAACAAAACAAGACTAAAACTAACCATTTAGACAAGTTGCACAATTTCCATAGTCTCATCCATAATATAAAGCAACAATTTAGACAAGTTGCACAACATGCACCCTTCAACACTTAAAATTAACCATCTTTGGGAGGAGGTTATGAGGAAAAGGAGTAAGACTAGCATGAAATCTTTAGAAACTAAAGTTGGATAGCCAGCCAACACCATAAATCTAAACCAGTGAAGGAATTCAAATCAATTACCATCCTAAACAACTGAAAAATCCTAAAAATGTGAGTTTATTGATAGAAAGACCTCTCTTGGTAGAGGACACAAGACAAAATGAACACGAAAAAGTTGAAAACCATGTGCAAACTATTACAACTCCATCAACCAATACTAATGTTGGTTGCCCTATTCCTCAAGAGAAATTATAGATTTCATTCCCTTAAACAAAGGCCTTTGTGTATTAAAATAAGGGAGATGATTTTGACAAAGAAATTTTGTAGGTTTTTTAGAAGTTTGAAGTCAATATCTCTTTACTTGAAGAAAAATAGTGGATTCTTAAATATACTAAATTCTTGAAGCATTTGTGCATTCACAAGAGGATATTGAAAGGGAATGAAAAAGTTGACATAGGAAGAAATCTTTAAGCTCTTATCATAACAACATTCAATAGGATTCTGGTAAATGAAAATATCTAGGGATATTTACCATTCCATGTGTCATTGGCAATAATAAGTTTAAAATGATATGCTTGACTTACAAATACCTATGTCTTTGATTATTTATTCTTCTTTATCTTTGATTCTATGAATTTTATAGATGTGATAATTCAATTAGAAAAGAGAAATATAGTGCAACCAACTAGAGTTAATTGAAGATATTATGATAACGGTGAACAACTTAATCTTTAAAACAATTTTTTAACCTTGACATGGGAGGTGTCTTTTGCATTATATTTTCAAATTATACCAAGAATACCATTCTTAAGACTGCACACACCCCAAGATTTATGTACATATTAATATTTTATCTGCGGAGTTTGATGCCAATATTGTGAAATTTAGCATGTTAGATGCAATTAGACATCCTCAAGAGGATTATTCCATTTTTTGCATTGATATTAGTTATGAATTGATTGTTAAAAAGGTTTACACTATCTTAGTCTCTGAACAAGTGCAACCTGTATTAGTATTTGAAAATTATGATAAATCAAAATCTAAGTTTACTAAATCTAAATTTGTAAAGTCTACACCATCTAAGTATATCAAAGCTAAAAGAAAAATAAAATGATTAAACAAAACTAAATGGTTCTTAATGGGATGCTTCATGGTCTCAAAAATGTTAAAGTGAACAATGTCATCTCCAAACTCCATAGAAAGTGTGCTAATGTGATAATTTATATTCGTATTGACTATCACTAAGAATGACTTGCTGAACATCAAGATGGATATGTGCATGTAATACCCATCCTCCATATCCAAAATACAAACATTAGTAGGAAAAATCAAGTCATTGATTCTTACCAACACATCTTCATGAACTACAAATGGTTATGCTATACTTTTGTTTCGAGTTGAATAATAATGCTAGTTGGTTTCAAGTAACCAAGATGAAATAATTTATACATTGTTGTAGGTTAATTATGTCATTAATAGAAGCCCCATGTCCAACACAACATTTGCAAAAGTTATTTTACCTATGGCGAATAGATTATTTAAAGTGTAAGAATAATCATTTATGCAAAATGTTAGTCTAGGACCAAGAGAAAACAACTTTTCTTTATATAAGTGTAAACACATTTCTTCCCACCTTCTAAATCTATGTCCTTCAGACCCCTTGTATGTACATAGTTCCTCAAAGAACTTGAACTATTTAGGAATCTATTTAATGACATCAAGGTAATGAATGTTTATCTTCACTTTTTTAAAAGTCTTTAGCAACTCACTAACAAACTTCAACTTATTTAGATAAACGACCCTAGAAAGAAAAGGAAGTGGAATTTGTGATGCAAGGGCTTCATAATGTGGTTGTTGTAATGGTTTAAGAGCTAAAGTATACTAATCTAGTGATGTTTGCTGATTCAGATTCAGCTCTGTACCACTCCTCACGATAATAGAACTCACATTTCCCTTT